CTTATCTTTTACACTTAACCCCTCTCCCATATAAATGTAACGGCCTGATGAGAATTTATTGAAATCATACGTATGCTCGCCAATTGCTCTTCGGATTTCTGTGATGGGAATTTTTGCTACCTATTCAGATGTTGTTATGACTGGTTCTAAGGTGGCACCTGGTGCCATTACCGCGCTAATTTCTAAGGCTGACGATATTCTCTGTTTGCAGTGAAGACTGAAAGCTTTGATGTCTTAGTTTTAAAGGAGTTACAGCCGGTAGTGAAAACACAAGAAATTATTCCACTAATTACGTTCTCAGTTCAGACTTGGTTTAAAGCTCTAATGAAGCCAAGTTCGAATAAAATGAGCACACGCCTTTGCAAAGTAGGCTCAAATTTTTGTAACGGTTAAATCTTTCAATTTCATCGCAGCTTACTTTTCCAGGGAAGCTTAAGAACATCTTGTTTGTATAAAAATGATCAGTACGATCAAATGAAATATCTGAATATGAATAATGAGGAGATTTCATAAAACCTATCCTTCCTCCTTCAATAGATAATAAAACATATTTTTAGGGTCTTGACTTCAATTAATTACAAGGATACTCTCAGAGTGATTCAACGGACTTAGTTTAAAGAACTCTTTATGAAGGAGAAAAAAGTTTTTACCGAATCTTTTTAAAAATGATACCACTTTGATCCAATCAGGTTAGTTATTATGACAACTTTTCGGCTCTTGGAGAGGAGCCCCATTGCCTACATGTCGATCTGAATTTTGTACTAAACAACTTAGCCTGATTCAGAAGTATATTATTGTAAACTTTAACTTACACCTTCCTTAAACATGAGATGTATAAAAAGGTCCTGACGGTTGCTGAGAATAGGAATATTTTGTATATATTCCGTGAGGAGTAAAACCTCTTTATCCGTGACATAAAGAGCGAGACTTATTGGTCCGTCCCAGTGTGAAGCCATTTCTTCAAGACGATGAAGTCTGTAATTAGAATTCAGAAAAAGAATATTACTTTGAAGTCTATGCTCCTTAAATAATTTCGAATATTCTACGAAGAGAGCTCATTTTGCTATATATAAGCTACTTAAACTGGCTATATTTAGATAGTTTTCTTGAGGTTAATCAAGCGAATTAAGCTGTTTATGTCTTTCAGGCTTTTTAACACTTCCTAAGCAGGCGAAAAAGTAATTAAGGAATTCCATAATTTGTACGGTTGCAATGCTCGTGGTCTCGGCTGTAAAAACTTGGCCTTGTGGGAACGCTAATTGACTGTAACACTTGTTAATTAGTAAAACTGAACCACTGTTATCTTTTTCAATTGATGAGGAAGGTATGGATGCGTGAATCAGGAACTCTGCCTCAGTAACTACGCTTTTCGTGCTACTAATCACACAGTAACAAGTGCCCTGCAGTAGTAACCTTTGTGTAAGTAATCAAATTATTTGCGCGTTTCATTCTCAATGCATAGAGCACTTTAAAATTATTACCTTGGACAGAGCTAATTTATCTTGGCGTTTACCTGTCAATAGTGAGTTGGCTCACGAGTGTAATATCGCTCCTTCGGAGTTTGCTCGAACTGAGATAACTTTCTTTATCGGTCTTTTGGGAGTCATTAAGTTTTCCGAAAAAATAGGGGTGAATTCTTCTTCCTAGCTCCGTTTCTTCGCGTAAATTTAAGCAATCGAGTTGAGTATTCTTTGAGCGCCTCGTTCGAAATCCAATGAATTGTGATAAACCGTGGCTTTCGTGTGTTGGAATCTGGAATGGAAAATGTGTGTCCGCCTTCAAAATGTCCATAAACGTCTCGCACAGGTATTGGAAAATTGTCAAAAATATTTACGTTTTTCAATAGTCTGTGCTTTCAGTAAGGAACTGGATATGTTTTAAAACTTTAACTGCGTTATTAAAAATCAATGTTTACGTAGATGACATCCAATTTGGTTTTTTGATTGTTTTAACCTTGAATTTCCAGAGACCTTCCATAGTTTTTTTCGGTCAGCGAACCTAACTTCTAATTCAAAGAACTGTCAAGCCTCAGCAACGTGAGTTCCTTTTACTGAGAAGCTGTAGGTAAAGTTCACCTCCATAACTGGGAATGTGTGGAGACAATATAAACAAAACATAGAGCAGAGCAGAGCAGAGAAGTAGCAATACCTGAATTATTTAAAAGCTCATTCAAATTCACTATCCCAAAATATACAAGCAATACACATGCAGCGGACATGCTTTGGTTTAGTATATCAATAAATGTTTTTCATTTTATATAAACATTAAATATTTATTTGGTTAAATTTAAATTAAGCACGTTTGATAACTGACGAGTATGTCTCATCAACAGAGGAGCTGTGTTGAATATGCCCAAGAATTAGTGTTGCCCATGAAATCTGGAAAACTTACACGTTCAGGGTCAGGATAGAAAATAGAGTCTTTCTTACGAAAAAGATTGCCATCGTATCCTGCGAAAAATGTTTGTAACTTTTCAAAATACATCCGGAAATTCCTGGCTAAAATAAGAGAACGACCGAGTTATCATACTAGGAATAATTCCAAAAAAATCTTAAAAAGGCAACTTACGATTGAGTAAGGGATGCACTCGTGTGCTTGGGGTAGTCGGCTTCTGTACATTTTGCAGTTCAGCATCATGACCAGGAAAGGTAGCATCGGCAGGTTTGATCGGTTTATTCCAATGCAAGATGCAGGCATTTTCACAAAAAACGTCCTCGAATTTGGTATAAAAGTCATTTTTACGTAGACAGTTTGCGTAATCAACAGAATCAGCTAACTGAACGTTCCATTTGCAAGGTAGTCTTTTGACACGACGGCTGTCGTAAAACAACGCTGCATTTACAATGTCCTTTAAAAAGAAAGAAAAACCGGTTTACTTATTAAGTATGCCGATTTGAATTTCGCAATGCAAAGCGTTTACTAAGAAACACTCACTATAGTGAAAGCTCATTTATTGTTCCAAAGTGTATTCTAAATGGGAGGCATTTCAAACCTTTCGGAATTTAAATACTTATCATCAGAAGGTTTCCCAGCCGTGGAAATCATTCCGACAAAAAATTTCATATTAACACGTATCTGCTCGGAAGTTGTTATGTGCATGCAAATCGGTATTTTCGTGGTCTTTTTGCCACTTTTAGCACCTTAATACTATGCTAAAAAGGATACGTTATAAACAGTAAAGTTCTCCAAATCATTAACCTGACAGCATATAATTAAAACTATATAGGAAGCCGTACGTACAGGAGGATTTATCACGTGAAATGTTAAACGAAATTACAAATAAGAGTTTTCGATTAGATAGGACTAATTTAGGGGGGTTGCCTTCTGAATTGCATTCTGGCAGTATTCTGGCATAAATGTGACTTGACTCTGGCATAATCACAAGACATTTCAGCTACGTTGGATGTCAATTTTTGAACGACCTCCTTCTGTCCATCTAAGATAACCACGCTGGATAAAAGTGAAACTTGCAGAGTACGATGTTTTAATATTTTTTCTATATTCCCATATACATTGAATCATATATTTTAGAAACATGAAGGATCTTATGCTTGTAATCCTTCAAATAAAGCATTTAAAATGTTTTTTGTTCTCCAAATTATGAAATTTCTAAGAATATTTAATATACATTCGAATAAAATTGTATCAATCCATTCATCAACGCTGCTTATAAATTATTCACACTTATCGCTTAATTTTTCTGATTGCCGCAGATAAATCTACGGGTATCCGTACGCGGACAACACACAATATAAGGTTCTAAACTCCCACAAAACGCATCTACTGGTTGGATATGAAATTGTTCGGGAAAATAAAATTTTTTTAACTGAAGGATAACTCTTTACGGTATAAACTTTTAAGAAACTAAGTTGCTGCAATATGATTATGTGAAATGATTTTTTCATGCGTATATTTCTATTAAGGATGTTTGCATATATAAGGTCACGTATAGCCAATATAAAACACTGTAATTTTTAAGTACCCATTTTTCGCGATTGTATTTTTTCAGCGGCCGTAAAGGAACGACCCCAAAAGCCTGCCCCTGACGTGTACATAACATCTTATGATTATGCTGCCGGACGCGAGAGTCCAGTTATCGTTTTCGATGGGGTCCAGCGTGCGCTCCACCGCAGGGGATAGTGCAGGGACGGTGACTCGCACTGCATTATAGTGAGAGTAAACTTTCGATGCACGTACCTTACCTTCTCTTCTACTCACTCATATGGACCCGCTGTCAACCCAGGGTCAAGAAGAATGGAATCAAGAGAGGGCATGGGTAGCAGGCGCGGCCGTAGTCGCCCCCCATGCGTACCACCATACCTGGCGCGGATCCCAGACGAGTGAGAGTTCTATAAATGCCTCATTAAGCGGGAGTCATTGCAGCCTGAATCTTAGTCCGGCAGTCAGACACTAGATCAACCACACTTAATTACGCTTTCAGAATTTGGTTTAGCATCATATGAGGATGGTCCGTCAAATAATAAACTCTGTTGTACTTGACTGAATATCCTATTCTCTGAAGTGCTGTCCATATTTGGGTCTTATTTTCTTCTGTTTTGCTGATTTAAGACATTTTGAACGGAAACAACCAAGACATTTTTAAAGTCGAATACCGGTACCAGAAGTCAGCAGAGCGCAGGAATGCAAATCGACACTCAGTTTTACCGGTCAAAAGACCCATAAATGACTGGATGTTGACTTAATATCATATACTTGATAAAATTTCAGTAGGATATAAATATTCCGCAACATAAACCACCAAATGTGAAATATATTATCAAACATTATTATTGCGCTTAAAAACACATGGATGGTCGACTCGGGCATATGTAGCCGAATACATTGCATGCTCAGCACACTATGTATTTACAAAACACCGCTCTTTGCAGTTATTATACATTTTTTCGTCGAGTAACTTAAATGAACGGATTATTTTCTACAGCGAATATCGATATATTCTTGATAAACACCGACGCAGTAGAGTGCGCGGAGGATTCACGAATACCATAATCTAAGGCGAAACTCGACACCCTGATCTCCTTATTCAGGAGCATTGTCGAGTTTTTCACTTTAGTTTCGAGTCAACAGAATGTAGTTTCTCGGAGTCCTCATGGCCTTTTTTAATCCATTTGATTGAAACTAAGCTTTGACTCACCTGATCCGCAAGAGCCGTGTAGCTTAATCTTTGTAAGCTGTGTTTGGTTACATTGCGCCAGTGGTCACCCCAGGCGTTACGACGCATCTTACGTATATTCATTAGGGCAACGCCGGTGTTAAATCCGCGATCCTAAAGGACAAAAAGAGTAATCCAACTTATTTAACGGGATTTTCTGCGCAAGATGGAAGAAAATCCGCTTCATGATCTTAGACCGTTTTATAATTTAAGTTTGGAACTTACAACTGCTGGCCACCGAGCTGGAGTCCGCGCTTGAAGGTACCAATCACTCTGATTCTCTATCAACCCAATAACCTAAATTGTTTAAGAAGAACGTTCGTCATACTTCAAATTATGCATCAGTCAAGAAAACAGGTTATGTGAATAAAACTATCAGTCGTCAAGGTTTAAGCTCGAGCCACTGGGTAAGACTAGATAAAGCATGTCTTTTGAACCGTAATCAGCCTTTGGATGCCTAAACGGTACAAACTGTAGCAAAGGAGAAAGCTTTCCAGCTCTGTTATCAAATGCCTTCAATCTGCATAGACCACACAAGCTGATATTCTGCAATTACTCTACCTGCCCTGAGATTCTAGAGCGTATGGCGCATAAGTCGATGGTCTGCTCTTCATGATTTGAATGGTAGTATCCTCTTGCGCAAACGGTTACTGTTGTAATTGTTAAGGAGATTAAGAAAGCATGCAAAGGAAATGATTTGTCCGGTCTACAAGCAGATTGTTTGATTTGACAAAGTATAATGTTTCCAATGAAACTGCTTTGTATTCAGAACCAAAGCAACAGTGTTAAGGAACTAAATAAGTAGGACTAAATGAGTAAGTCATGCATTCTATGTCAATAAAATTGTGTAAGACTTAAATGACAACAAAAAGTTTACCTCATCGTCAGAAAACTCGTCAAAGTAATTCCATAGATTTTTTAGGTTGCATGTTATAACGATGTCCAAATCCAAGAAGAGGATCTATTTGGAAGAAAAATAGACGTATTCAGATTAGAAAAGCCAAATGTCGTTGCAGGGTTACATCTATCTGGGACTCCATTGTGCAAATTCAAAAGTGGCATTACTCTGCCTAAATCTGTTGGGGTTAATTTTCCGTAACTGAACAATGTTCTGGTGCTTGCATAGTGACCGCAGAGGGCCGCCAGGAGGGGCACTCATTTTCTCAGAGTGGGTTAACCTTCAGCTAGCCTCAACCTGATGAGCAAATTCTTCGGCATGTCAGTGACGTTGTCACCCAATAGCTCGGTGATCAGTTTGCACAGGTTAGGTTGTTCAATGAGAAATGGGTCAAATTTCGCCTTAAACCACAGGTCGAACAAATTTGGTTGACAGTATATATGCATTAAACGTATCGGGTTTTACAAGGAGTGGGAAGTGAAGTATACGCATTGGAGCTTATTTAAAAACCCATCAGTTATCATATTTTATTAACCGTCAAATCAGTTGTCCGGAGCCATTATTTTTGGAAAAGCCGAAGCTCTATTAAATGACCGCTATCCAATTAGGGAAAATAATTAAACAGAACAATTTGATTCGGCTCGATCAACGCTATTTTCGGAGCAGTTTTTTCTTGGGGTACGCAAGTGTGCTGATAGCGCTCAGTCTGTGAGAGATAAACCGGTTGCCCTCATAATATAGGTAGCTTCCGCATATTTTCCATTGCAGCAAACTGAGGTGCACAGACTGAGCAACCTAAAAGTTTTGAATGCTGCTGCACAAGGTAACACCAGTGGGAAGAAAATGGCACAGATGGTCGCAGGCGGACGCTTAAATTTCCGAACCTTTTTAACATCAACGTGAAGTACTTTCAAGTAAAAATTACCGCTGCATTTCGCAAATGCAAGGTTTGCGGATCTTCAATATGTCCATCATTCGAAACCGTTAACTGTAATAATGGAATTAAGTGTTCGGGATATAATTTTTTAGCGTCAACTAAGAAAATTCAATCAACGCTTGAGTCCTCTGTTAAAAACCCGCATATTGCCCACCCTACAAACAAATAGTATTGCTAGCGGTTTGGCTTTGTATGACGGGTATTTATACCGCACTGTCAACATAGGTACTAGCGTATGTTTTGCCGGTGTTGCTCTCGATAAATGGCACAGCCTTAAGGACTTCGGCTCTTCTGTGAGGTTCAAATAACAATAAGCGCCCAGATAACACAGGGTGAGCCAGTGAAAAGCATAATGCCTCCAAGTTGCGTCCTGCGGCAACAGAAATCTCTATGAAATAAGCGTGATAACTTTTAGCTAGTGGGTTATAAAAATTTTCATAGGAGTACTGCATTAGGCCATTATTCCACAGAATTTGATGGTTAATGAAGGAGAATGTTTGCGTTCCGGGTCGATTCATGGGTAAGGAAGAAGGATGGTCGAGCACCGGATCGATTTGTTTATTATCCTGAGCTATCGAGCTCTTACAGGAGTCCATCGTCAGAGATAAGAAACAGCAACAAAAGAAGGGCTTGTTATAATGTGTGTACGCCCATCAACCGCCAAGGGTCATCAGGTCGTGAGGGGTAAGATACCGCGATGAAAAAGAGCGGGTGGGGTGAATTATAGAGACCTGATAACCTTTGACAGTTGATTGGTGTACACACACTATAACTAGCTCCTCTTTTGTTGCTGCTTCTTATCTCTGACGATGGACTCCTGTAAGAGTTCGAAAGCTCAGGATAATAAACAAATCGATCCGGTGCTCAGTCATCCTTCTTCCTTACCCGAAGTTGATAGTCGTCGGGCCAAGTGTTCCTTGAAGTTTCAGAACTGATGATCAAAAATTATGTCCTGAACACTGGAGTTCGTATAGAATAAGGCGCATTTAGGAGGCTGAATGATTCACCGCAAAGACGAATTCCACGCCGATGCGTCATGCAGCAGCACCAGACATAGCAGAAAACGCAGCTGGACTTTCAGTTAGTACTTATGCTGGAAATACGATGTAAACGTTTCTCACATATTGAAGTATAATGGACAAATACAAGGAAGATCATAATGGTTATTTCTGGATTATTAGCCGTCATCAGTCTGTCATGCCCAATCCCATTTTTTTCAACAAATCTATACAAAAAGCTGGAGCCCATATAATAGAAATTACCATGGAGGACGCGGAAGACCCCACTGAGAAACTGAGATATTTGCCGGTGTGCGGCTACGTTGGCAAAGCCTGTGCTTCAGCTTTTCACAAGTATTCATATTTTTGTAAATCGTGAGTAAAGTCTGACCTCAGTGGTGGACAATTTGTACCATATGTGTGCGCGCACGCTTGTATTTCCGGTCCCAGTTGGTGCTCAGAATTAAGCTTTGCTGAATGAAGATCAATAAGCCCGAAATAGTTCTGTGAGAGAATTACCCAAAACTCGGTCACCCCTCTCTGCGTATAGAGTTGTAGACGAAAATATTGAGATAATCGGTCAAATACGGCGTATTCTGAAGCCCGTTTCACCCTTTCCCGTTTAGGTAAGCATTTGACGTTGAGTTAGCCATGGAGCAGTACGTCACACTATCCCTGGAAACATAGGTGGCATGCCATTTTCTGTAAAACCCCATAAAATATGCTATTTAAGGCTGCTGATGGTAAGAGTTAAGTGGTCTGGGCTGCATACAGAAATGCATCGGTATATGGAGGGCTGTTTTGCGTGATTCAGCCTAAATTGGTCCCATTCTCTCAGCGAGATGGTACATCCCTCCACGCTCACTGGCCCACAGCCAAAGGTACGCGTCTCTCCAGGAAAGATTTTGCATTTGATACAACAAACGAACGACCTAGTCCCATAATCTCAGTTAGGTGGCACGCAAATGGGGGTTAAGCCGGGATACTTAACTCCACGTTGCGTCGAAGGCATCCTCGCGCGTGCGACATTTCGCAGATGACCATTTTCTTTATATCGACTAGACTCTTGGTACCCTTCGTTCTTTTACTGACGCATCCTACATAGAATAGTGACATTTTTTGCAAGCTTTATGTCCTAGTACAATGAGAAATGCGAATAGCGGAACAGACGATTCGTTCCCAAGGTGCATATAAAACGTAAATGATGCCTTTATAGCTCTTGTCCTATAGCGTGTGTTCACGATATATAATCGAGCAAGTCATGATTTTATGAGAGCTGCAACAATTGTTTTCAAGGTAGATGGTCAAGATAGAGGGAACAAAAACGGCAGAGGCGTAATGGAGAATGATGGATGCAAAATGGACTGAAAATGAAAGCTCACATTAATTGCAAACTTTTAATGTCATCCTTTATGACTCACCTACCCGTTGGATATGTGCAGGAATTATTTCTGGAACTATTAGTTTCGCCAGTCCGTAAATGCCTGAGTAGTGAACCGTGGGAATCCAGTTAATTTCTTTCTGAAAAGTGGCAAGGCTATTATTTTAATCCATGAAAAGTATATTGTTTTAGCTTGAGATATCGACAGTGTCTTGTCAGACGTTCACCATAGTTTTATATATACCTGTTGTACCCTTAAATTGCTAATTCAACCAAGCTCTACAGGTTGTCAGTAATTAGAATATCAGAACATTAGCAAAATACAACAGAAGCATTTTTTCAACTTAATAGACAACGATAATCCAGAAGTACTAAGATCTCAAAAATTAGACCTTTCTTTGGACCGTATGATTTGATTGAACGGAACAGTGTCTAGGGAAAACCACGTGACTGCACGTTGAAAAGTATATGTGCAATAACGATGGTAGTGATAGCTTACAATACTTCACCCAAAAAAACTAACTAAGCTCATCACAGCCCACTCCGACTGTCAAGCATTTCCTCCAAATAGTTTTACTTTAGGGGTCATTATATGATTAACTCGTTGTGCATAGCAGAGATAGATAGACCTTGCTAGATTTGTAAACCCTATTCAAGTACTCATGACGGTCTTTGCATTTAACTATTTGAAGAAATTATAATATTCCCTCACGAAAGCTTTGTACAGCTAAAATATATTCTTTAGAGTTTAACAGAACAGCTGACCCAAATCATATAATTTGGTGATCGAACTTTGAGTGGATAGTTCAGTATACATTTGATTATGCTATTTTTACTCACTGAGTAGACTTTAAGCTCTAATTTATTTCAAATAATTATGAATGCATTGCATATGTGTATATCTGAAGGGAAACGGGTCAGACCTGAGCAAAATCGGACGTTCTCGGATACCCAATAAATTTATATGCTATTTACGATCATCATCAAAATCTATTGACTTTGTGCATTGGGTTGTAAAATAAAATTAATATAAACAACTCTCTGCTTTAATTTAAGCTGACCGATCTTTCGTATTATAGAAGAGTAAAGCAAAACAGACGAGGATCTACGGAGGCGTCAATAAACTAATCAAAACTTGTCAAACCCTTTAACTATAACTTAATAATTCCTTAGTTATACTTCCTATATTTTTGTGAGTAATGTTTAATTTACGAGGAATTTGTCATACTTGGCGATAGGAATGGATTGTTTAAAGACAATAATGTGACAGGCATATTAGCTATGGCGACTGACAGTACGCAACATATTGCTTTATTTCAGACTTACAAGATAAGGTTCTATGTTGTAGAAATGTGCCATTAAACCCTCGATTCGCCATGATTGGAAGAGAACCTTGATGCTCATGCATGCGCTCTGATCGCAGATTATGTGAAAATGCGTCGCGGTTTTGGTTCCTTTTCGTTCTAACTGTCCTTCTTTTTGGTTGTAGAAAATGATTTTCGTCAGCACATGAAGTTGACGAGCGGCGCTTGACCCGCCGACAACGAAACCCAAATGCAAGATTTCATCTTTTCTTTTTCTGCTATCCAGCTTCCTTGGATAAGATCTGTGGTATGAACAACTTTGACTTACCTTGCATGATCGTCGCAGTTTCCTGTAGGCCTGCGGTCATTCGCAAAATGCTGGAAAATAAAAAGATACGGTCAGAGGTTAAAGCAAAATAAACATCTCTAAAATGCGATCAAAACACTACACTTTGAACGCAATCAGGATGACAACTGTCCCGTAGGAAGTAATAATAGGGCAATATGACACTAGATGTCACAATCAAAAAATCCATGCAGTATGTGAAGAAACAATTACCATTTCTATCCTTTAGATCCAGCCACACTCGTGTTTTTTGACATTTTTGATATTGTCACCTGACTTCATCTAATGGTCTTTATCAGACATTTATGTTGCTGATGATGGCCTGCCGCTTTGGTTCCCTTTTGTTGTGCCTCGAGACAAGACAATTTCATAAACATCTTTCGGCCAGCAGCAATTTCATTGAGACTGCCTAGGTACTTGCCAGTATTCTGTGAGAGGAGGACTCACAAAATATGACAATCCATTTGTTTTATTAAAGCAAACTTAGTTAAAATGTCAAATCTTTCGGCTGGATAGAGGCAAGGCAGATCGAAACGAGAGTATTTATTTGTGTTTTCTTGTTGTCTGACTGCCAAGTGTCACAGATTAGCGTTAAGTTTGAAAAAATCTCAATAAAAATTCTTTTGAAGGTAAAAAAGCCCATCTCAAAGGAACTTGATAGGTAAACGATGAGGCATAATAATTAATTAACTCTATATCGTTTGTGTTGAGAAGAAGAAGATGCGATCGCTGGGACAAGACATTTATTCACCTGACGTTTCGATTTCTTCTTGTATTATTTCAACGGGCCTGTTATCAGTTATAGCATCATAGATCTTTAAAATCTTGTACCCAATTAGTAGGCTTTTTGGAATCTTTACCAGCCCCTTTTGTCCATGCACTTGTCTCTACCTCCCAAAAGGCTCAAATTACATACTGAAATTTAAAGGCCTCGTTTACCGGAATCATTCTGCATTGCTAAAGCTGAATCAGTGTATTCATTAAAGGTCCTGCTTGGGCATTATGCATATATTTTGGAATTTACCAAAACGACGAGTTATAAATTGATTGGGAACTATGAGGATTCTTTTTAACTTTCATAGATTTTTCATCTGACATGTAGAACATGAACAAATAATGGTAGATGGACCACAAACTATGCGTATTTCCTTAAATATTGGCTACCTCAACGACTTTGTACACAATAATGTGTCAGCCTGTACGTGTATAAATTACCAGTGTTCACCTAGTCATGCAGAAGATATCGAGTTGGAAGTCGACTCCTGAGAAGGTTTTTATCCTCTATCAAGTGAAAAGGCTAACTTTAGCCCGAACTCTATTCACGCATAACTTCGAACAAATGCGATTAAACATGAGGTTAATAAAAGAAACTTTTATACTGCAGTCCACGATATTTCGTTTCATATTGCGCAAAGTCAACACAAAGGCCGCCTTTTGATCCTCGTATCTCCTTTCGAAATTTGCCTTCTAATCAGGAATTCAGTCTCACCTATATGGTAATGCGTTGTCGTGTGCAACGTTCTTTGGAGCACACAGAACTTTGTGGATAACCATGTTTAAACTTGCTCTGAACGAATGCCATTCGGTTTTGGCAATGAGATAATCAGTCCGAGAGTAATTTATCTTACTTACCAACATCTTTGAGGATGTCTGGTAGCCACCCAATGATAACCTAAATGTAACTATGGAAACAGCATTCCTAAGGGAGGACTGTAGATATAAGCTCAGATTTCTTGTTTAACGTTAGTGTGCCCTGCGTTTTTATTAATGTGGAGTTGTTAACAGTGGAAGCTGCTAATCGAACATGTGGTGTAAGGGTCAGTAACTGTTTATCTCATCACTGATTTCCCTTTTAAGTCTGAGCAAGCCATTCAAATCAGAACTTCAGTGAAAATGCTTAGGGCCTCAGTTCGAATATGAAATTTATGCCATCATATCGAAACCCTCAAGAGGATCATCAAAACCTCTGTAAACCGAGCCAGATTCGTTAACAAAGGTGACAAAAGCATTAAATAAATCGGATATTTCTCCAACTAGCATTAATTTTAATGACTTACTGGGTAACTGCAATACAAAAGCATGATCTATAAAAATCCTTTCAAAGGTTTACTTTGAAACGAGATATTTAACGATGGATTGGCAATTGCACAATCCAATACACGTACACTGGAATAAAGTGCTTGTCCACGTGGAGGTACCGGAAGTCATTTTTACATCTCTGGTAAATTCTATCTTGTTCAATCGATTATTGTTTTTGAGTGTTCGATTGTGAAAATAATGAAGATCTGATCACGGTTAAACTGTTGATCCGGTATGGTGTCCTACCTCTCTTACTTGACCTGAAAGTGAAACTCAAATGGGTGCAGTTTTGCCATGACCTTTGTATCTATAGCCTAGAAGTTGTTGTCTGTAAACGACGATCTACCTCGACAATAATGGACTCTCATAGAATTCAGGGAGTACAAAAGCATCGGCTTTACTTTGCAGCCCCTAACAACACGCCATAATTATTATTGTTTATCCATTGCATTTCAACGAAACTCGAGCTGAGTTTTTTTCGCTATAGACAAGACGTCAGTGCTTACAACTTGACGAATGAGACTTACGCACACTTGGAAAATAAAAACATATACAGATTCTAAGACACATTTGAATGCAAACAAAAGCTCAAGCTTGATCGTTCGATAATGCTACGTCACCTACCAGACCATGCCGTCATTAAGATCTTTGATGATACAATGATTACCGAAAATTGCATTTTCAAGGATAGACCAGAGCTGGTAATAGCGATCCGGACTGCTTTTAATTTAATCAGCTAGGAGCGATATTCATGTTCTTGCCATAAAATTTTGTCTGTTTTACACACTCAACTATAATTCACAGGCACACTTCTTACCCCCACGTCTTGTTGATCATCGATCTTAGATAGAACGTTCCATTTGAAGGAAGGTAGTTTCCGGGGATTCCTCACCACTCCAACGGAGAGATCTTTACCACAATTCCCACTGCTCATCAACATAAAGCCAGTATTTAGCCATAGTGCCATGGATACTAAACATAGGAGTAAGCAGGTGCCAGTAACGAGCAACGCAAGATGGAGACGTTGTTCCAGTTGTCGGACCGGTTTCCATGACGGTTTCGGACTCGGCACCTGAAGAGGGCCACCTGTTCCGAGTCTCAGGCGGAAACCTGCACTATTCGGGCTTGGTGTGCATCGACGAAGGTACGAATGATCGCGTTTTAACGAAGGTCTTGCAGAAGATGAGGAAACAGAGAAGGGAGAGAAGTTTCTTGGAAAAATGGGTCGAAGAACGATCCTCACAATCTGACACACCCTCATTTGCCCGATGATCACTGATGAGCAGCCAGACTATTCTTCATTGTTGTTGATCCTTCAACAAAGAATGAAATTGATGTCCACATTACATTTTACTAAAGTAGTAAATTACGCACTTTATTTGACGCCTTCAGTATCGCTTTCGTAAGAGAAAGATAGGAAACGCTTTGATACTGATCCTGAAATGAGGTATATTTTGGCAGATTGCAAACGCAAGTCATAGAGAGAAACTAGATTGTTTGAATCATCATAAGTTTAAATAAGAGTATTAACGCGTAGTTCCTATAGCAAACCGTAGCAGTCTATTAAAACGGTCCTTCGATAAAACGAAGTTTTGATCGCTTCTCTGTATTCTTAAGCCAAGTTGACTTGTATTTTATGTTTCACGCTTACAGAAGCCAAAAGCACGCAAGACGTATAAACACTGAAATATTATTTTGTATTTGGGGATACATTTCCAACCGAACATAAGAAATAACCTGCGATATTTATTTTTAAGAAAAAGTTCGATAAGAATGGGAACCTGAGACAATGGTGTATATCGATGGGTGGCTTCTAAGCAGCTACGTCCACTTCAGTTCAGTTCAACTAATTATGTCAATATCGTCATAATGTGACTTCGTGAATAAAGGCTGATGTGGCAATAAAACGTGGGGTACCCGCCTTGT